CTTGCTTGAGGGAGTTAGAGTGCCTAGATCTTTGCAATTCGCGCTACTGCTTTCGATTGAGGCCACCACCACCACACGCGTAATAGCCGCTACTACTATGCATCGCAATAGCTACTGCCGTCGTCGAGAGACCAAGATGAGTGGGGACTAGGGAATGGCCATTTGGCTAGGGTTACATTCTTGGATGCTAGTCACTCTTTATATATGGATGTTCATTTTGGGCCCCCACGACCTTAATTGGGCCTTTTAGCGGTGCTGATTGAATGTCCATTTAGTGGATTTGATCGGCTAATTGTTCCTATTAGCGCTAAAGATCAAATAGTAGCAAAATTGATCTATCCTAGTGTGCTTGTTGGCCGGCCGCACGCTATCTTTAGGGATTTAAATCCTTGATTAGGATGACCTAGATATAAGTACACAAACATATGAATCCAGAGAAACAACACAGAGAGAAGAATCTAGTCATCGTAAGAGCGTTAATAGATTGAGAGTATCAAGATTGATATAGATTTTCTGGTCAAGCAAAGATCGGTCCCACACCAACAAGGGCTAGATCGCCTGGGTCGCAAACGAACTGAAGAATGCAACAGATAACCAACATGCTTTCACGGTGAAGAGCAGCAAGGTTTACAAGCAAACCAGCAAAAGATAGCTATCACGCTTATGTGACGAAGAACAACTAGGTTTTAGGCAAGCAAATGATCGCCGTCGAAGCTCTCGCCCGGGAGGAACCCCGTTGGGGCAAAAACATCGGTAGGTTTTGCCCTAGTCTGGCCTCCAAGCCTAGGCGCCATCCTTATTGGTCATTGGGTCAAGCGATGAACAACAACATGAAGTTGGATTCTCTCAATGTACTATGATCTTCTCACATATATAGGGGTCTTAACCCACTAGGAAACCTTTGCACATCAGAATCTACAAGTTTCTTAGTTTTTGGACTAAATTGGCTTAGCCAACTTTCCCTGGCAAAGTCTTCTATCCCAAGTTTTGTGGCAAAAGTCGACTACCCCAACTTTCGAGGTCTCCTTCACAACTTTCCTAAGAGAATTTGCATGCGACCATAACTCTCTCATTTGGACTCTGAATTTGATGATCCATATATGTTTTTCGATCACTTTGGCAAGAGGAACGTAACGACGAAGTTTAATTTGCACTTTGAGAACTTCAACTCGCCCCGAGGCTAAGACGACTTCTAAGTCGGCTAGGCCATCTTTCCTGCCTCAGTCTCATCTTTTTGTCAATTTTGTGTGTCAACACCATCTCACTTGTCTGTTCCACACCTTATGATGTCTATAGTTGTGTGACACCATCTTCTCCTAGAATTACAAGTGAAACTAAATCAAAGTATATTTTGCACGAAAAGAATTGAATTACAAAAACCTTAGTATTTATTTGCAAAAAATCCCTTAGCATTTAGCTACCTTAACGAACCATCTAGAAACAATATTTAAAAATATAAATAATTAAATTACGAGTCACATATATGTTTCTTTGCCTTTAAAAATGCTTCAACCCAAAATGCGATGAACAAAACAGAACCTTCTATTTCATGGATTGCTTCTATTCTGTCAAATACAGCATCTGATCACTGATCACACATACTGTGTGGCCCTTGAAATCAAAGTGAAATAAAACCATATGAAGCTATTTTCCCCCAGAACTTCAAGACAAGCCAATTAAATAACAAAAAGCCCTTCCAAAATAAAAAAAACAAAAGCTTAGCACAACCTACAACACAGATCTGCAAATACAACCACAACACAGATCTGCAAAATAAAGCAACAAAAGAAGGGGAAGATAGCACACTTTGCTTGCTTGCCTGCATAGTCATCTCACCCTGATTTGTACTGTTGTGTAGTTGTGCCATTGTGTGGCGCCATCTCCTCCCAAAATTACACGCCAAACCAAAGTAAAAATCATCAATCGATTATAAAAAAAGTAAAAATCATCTATGTTTTCCAGCTACAAAAATCTGAAATCGGAAGAAACCAACATATAAATATCCCGGAGATAATTTTACTCCCCCGCCTGACCTAAAACCCTCGCCTTATCTTCTCATCGCCTCGCCTCCCCCCACCCGGCTTCCTCGAATCCTACTACTGCTGCCGCTGTTTTCTTGCTTCGTTGCGTGCTGGCGGAGCAAGAGGCGGCCATGGCCACCACCACCGACGCCGCCCCAGTTGCGCCCGTGGAGGAAGAGAGCGCCGCCCCGGCGGCCGCCGAGGAGGAGCCGCCCAAGAAAGTCGAGGCGGCCGTGGCTACCACCGACGCCGCCCCAGTCGCGCCCGCGTCCGCGCCCGTGGAGGACGAAACCCCGGCCCCGGCGGCGGCCGAGGAGGAGCCCACCAAGAAAGTCGAGGCGGCGGCGGCGGAGGAGGTGGAGGAGGATAGGGAGGCGCCGAAGAAGGTCTTGGCGGGTGGGGGAGAGAAGGAGGAGGAAGAGGACGTGAGATTGGAGGGGAAAGGTGAGGGCTTTCGGGGTCCGGAGGCCGAGAACGGCCAGGCGGAGGGTGTCAGAGGAGGATATGATGGCGGGGAGGTAAAAGAGGCGGAGGAGGATGATAAAGGTGTGAATTTGGGAGCGGCGGAGGCCGAGAAGGATGATGGCGGCGAGGAACCAGCGTCGGAGGACGGGGAGGCAGCCGCTTCTGGGGCCGCGATCGTGCCAGCGGTGGAGTCCAAGTCGGAGAACGGCGAATTGGGGGAGGGGGATCCTTCTCTGGCTTTCCATGATGCGCTGGAAGGTGATGAGAAGGGCGAATTGCGGGAGAAGGAGCAGCAGGAGGAGGAAAGAGGTGCTGCAGTGGAGGTAAAGGTTGTGGATAAGGTGTCAGATGATGCTGAGGCGCCGGTGGCCGAAGAGGAGAAACTGGAACCGGAAGTTGAGAAGAGCGAGGAGGTAGGTTCTGGGGGTGGAGATGGTGGTGAGTTGAGCGATGAGAAGGAGGTTGAGGTCTCCCCTCCAAGCGAGGAGGCGGCGGAACCACAGGATAAGGTAGCCCCTGAAGCTAATGGTGAATTGGGCGATGAGAAGGAAGGAAGTGATGATGTGGTGGCTCTTGGAGGCGAAGAAGCCCCGGATGAATCGACTAACAAGGATGCTGATGGTGACGATGTGGTGGCTCTGGGAGGTGAAGAATCCCCAGAAGAATCAACTAAGAAGGATGCTGATGTTGAAGATGAAGCCACCAAGCCTGAGCCACCGAGTGAGGCGAGTCCAGTGGTAAGTGAGCATCCTCAATCTGATTTTGTTGCTAGTAGTCTTGATGCTAGTGGGGATGTAAACAATTCAAATGTTACACTGACCCAGGTTATGAAGGATGGAAGCATAGAGGAGCTTGCTCCTGCAAGTGCTAACAGTGTGCTTGAGGATAGTCCTGAGAAGGAGCAGAATGCTGAAGACCAGGCCACTGCCAGTGAAGCGGTGGAAGATGTTGGTGTCGACAAGCCCACAGAGGTTGAGAGTGTTGCTGCGCCTAGTGCTGATGGTATCTTGTCTCGAGAGTTGTCTCCAGAATCAAGCAATGAAAATAATGGTGCTGATGAGATTGAAAGTGCCACTGAGGTTGTTGATCGTGAAGTGGAGGCTGTTGATAATGACATAATTGAGGTTGTACCAGATGACGAGGATGGGGTTGGTAATGAGGCTGACGACGATGATGACGGGGCGAACTCTGACACGAGTCCCGCACGGGTTGCAATCTTAGAGAGCTCTGATGCCGCGAAGCAGATTATGAAGGAGCTTGCAGAAGGCTCTAGTGGTAGTGTCTCAAGAGACTTCACCAATAGCATGGATGGGCAGATTATGCTTGATGATTCTGAGGATGACGAGGATGATGATGATAATGATGATGGGGATGAGAAGGGATTTGATTCTGCTGCCTTGGCGGCCCTTCTCAAAGCGGCAACCGGTGGATCCTCAGATGGGAATATCACAGTTTCTTCACAAGATGGTTCTAGAATATTCACCATGGACCGACCTGCTGGTCTTGGTTCATCAGCCCCTTCTCTGAGGCCGACTGCGCCTCGCCAACCTGCCCGGTCAAACCTATTCAGCTCCTCGGAGCTAGCAGTTACTGCTGACCCTACAGAAGAGATGACAGAGGAAGAGAAGAAGCTACACGACAAGGTTGAGTTGATTAGAGTAAAGTTTCTGCGTCTGGTTTACAGACTGGGAGCTACTCCTGAAGAAACAGTTGCAGCACAAGTGCTGTACCGTCTGAGCCTTGCTGAGGGTATCCGACATGGTAGGCAGACAAACCGAGCATTCAGCCTTGATAATGCGCGGAGGAAGGCCTTACTTCTTGAAGCAGAGGGAAAGGAGGATCTGAACTTCTCATGCAACATACTTGTTCTAGGAAAGACTGGAGTTGGTAAAAGTGCAACTATCAATTCTATATTTGGTGAAGAGAAGTCCAAAACTGATGCCTTTAGCTCAGCAACCACCAATGTGTGGGAAATCGTTGGTGATGTGGATGGTGTCAAGATTAGAATCATTGATACACCTGGCCTTCGACCCAATGTTATGGACCAAGGATCAAACAGAAAGATTCTTGCTGCTGTCAAGAAATATACCAAGAAATGTCCGCCAGATATTGTTCTATATGTGGATCGTCTGGATAGTCTGAGTCGTGATCTCAATGATTTGCCTCTTCTGAAGACAATTACTGCTGTTCTTGGCTCATCCATATGGTTCAATGCCATTGTTGCACTCACACATGCTGCCTCTGCTCCTCCTGAAGGCCTCAATGGTGCTCCCATGACATATGAGGTCTTGATGGCTCAGAGATCCCACATCATCCAGCAGTCCATCAGGCAGGCTGCTGGAGATATGCGCTTGATGAACCCAGTAGCCCTTGTTGAGAACCATCCTTCGTGCAGGAAAAACCGTGAGGGCCAGAAAGTTCTTCCGAATGGCCAAAGCTGGAGGCATCAGATGCTGCTTTTGTGCTACTCCTCAAAGATATTATCAGAAGCCAACTCACTTCTGAAGCTTCAGGATCCTAATCCTGGAAAGCTTTTTGGCTTCCGTTTCCGCTCCCCACCTCTTCCTTTCTTGTTGTCCTCACTCTTGCAGTCTAGAGCCCACCCCAAACTTTCTGCTGAGCAGGGTGGCAATGAAGGTGATTCTGATATTGAATTGGATGACTATTCTGATGTAGAACAAGATGATGACGAAGAAGAATATGATCAGCTTCCACCCTTCAAGCCCTTGACCAAAGCTCAGCTTGCAAGGCTCACAAAGGAGCAGAAGAATGCTTATTTTGATGAGTATGACTACAGGGTTAAGCTTCTCCAGAAGAAACAATGGAAGGATGAGATCCATGAGGTTAAAGGAGATGAAGAGGGGAAAACTGATCTTGATGATTATGGGTATGCAAATATCGCTGGTGAGAACGATCAGGATCCTCCTCCAGAGAATGTATCAGTTCCCTTACCTGATATGGTGCTGCCTCCTTCATTTGATTGTGACAATCCCACATACCGGTACCGCTTTCTGGAGCCAACTTCGACTGTCCTAGCAAGGCCTGTTTTAGATGCACATGGATGGGATCATGACTGTGGTTATGATGGAGTGAGCGTTGAAGAGACACTAGCTATCCTTAGCAGGTTCCCAGCAAATGTAGCAGTTCAGGTCACCAAGGACAAGAAGGAATTTAGCATCCATTTGGACTCTTCCATCGCAGCAAAGCATGGAGAGAATGCATCATCGCTTGCTGGTTTTGATATCCAGACTGTTGGGCGGCAGCTTGCATATATTCTCCGAGGCGAGACAAAAATCAAGAATATCAAGAAGAACAAGACCACTGGAGGGTTCTCAGTAACTTTCCTGGGTGACATTGTGGCAACTGGACTGAAGGTCGAGGACCAGCTCTCCCTTGGGAAGAGGTTGTCACTAGTTGCCAGCACTGGTGCGATGCGAGCCCAAGGGGACACTGCATATGGAGCTAACTTGGAGGCACGCCTGAAGGACAAAGACTATCCAATTGGCCAGTCCCTCTCAACCTTGGGCCTCTCTCTGATGAAGTGGCGCCGGGACCTTGCTCTGGGCGCAAACTTGCAGTCCCAGTTCTCCATCGGAAGGGGGTCGAAGATGGCAGTTCGACTTGGTCTGAACAACAAGCTGAGTGGGCAGATCACCGTCAGGACAAGCACCTCAGAACAGGTCCAGATCGCACTTCTGGGTCTCATACCGGTTGCAGCCTCCATCTACAGGAGCTTCTGGCCCAGTGAACCATCCTTTGCTTATTAGCTTGTCTGGAGGAGTCCCAGTTTAATTATTTCATAACCATATCATTTCTCTTAGCAATTTTCCTTTTCATATGAACCATGTTTCCTGCTGTTTCAGTTTACTCCTTTGTAATTCCTATCATAATTTTGGCTGAAGAGGGTTGTGAGATTTATCTGGAACTATAGCTGAATAAATAATGTCGCGGGATGTAGGGTCCTTGTGGTTACCAATCTGTAGCGTTTTTAAGTCTATTCTGATTATTCTTGTGGTTATCAATCTATTAGTGTTTCTAAGTCTATTCTGATTATTCTATGAGTACTTCTGCTTTGCTACTAATGCTGATGTGGACATGTTATCGTATTACTGGGAGTAGCTGGCGAGAGCATGCATTGTATCTAGCTGTCCCTATGGTCATTGTGATCATCATCTATTAGCGAGCTTAGACCCAGAATTGTTGATGTTTCTTTTTAGGATCACATATTCCTGCATTTGCATCATAATATTGAAGACCTGAACTCTGCGCATGTATCAGTAGTTGAGGTGCACTGTTTCTGTATCAGTTTTTTTAGACGCTATCCATGATGCGTCATTGGTTTCTGCAGAAAACAACAATCCTGCTGAACGTGGAAACAGGAGTGATAGTAGCAAATGGATTCACCATTCTACTGACTAGCTAGCCCTTTTTTTTTTCTTTTCTTTAAGATTGTTTGCATGGCAATTGCAAGTATGTTGAAGGGTCAGGTCTAGTTTGCAGTTTCGGGATGTCTTCCGTTTCCTGTCTTTTGTGAACTCGAGTCAAGTTATGAATATGGCAAAATTGCACACCTGATGAAACGGTGCATCGATAGATGGGCCAGCGGGACGCTGATCCGTAGTAGTAAGGGCCGAATTTTTTTTGTTTTTTAGCTTTTTTTTGAAAAAATTTCACAAATATGCCTCTGGAGTTATGCTTTTAAAATCTGGACCCTTAGCTCGGCGTGGTGGCGCCGAGCTTACACGTCTCGGCGCCATAGATTTTGACGTCAAGGTCTTAGACTCGGCGCAGACATGGCGGTGACTTGGCAGGCATCTTGGCGTCGTAGATCTTGGCGTCGAGCTTAACGCCGTAGATCTTGGCGTTGAGCTTGGCGCCGTGATTATTGGCGCCAAGCTTGGCGCCGTGGTTATTGGTGTCGAGAATTGCGTCAAGATCTATGGCGCCGAGGTGGTGTTTTAACCCGGCGTCCAACCTTCCTGTCCGAGCCTTCTTCCTCTTCTTTCTCCTCCCTCTCGGGTTTTTTCTCTCCCCACTTCGTCCTACCTCACGAATCGACACATTGGACCTTAGAAACTTTGATTTGATCCGTAGATCTTCGAGAGCAAGGTATCCTCGTTCCCTCCTAGTTTTTTTCAAATCGATTCGATATATATTAGTCGGATTTTTCAACTTAAGAATCGTCATTACTTAGGGTTTCATGCAATTTTAATATTTATATTATACAACCGTAGAATGGCAAGGCGTGGAAAAGCTACCAAACCAAGGTAACCTCAGCGCACGTTGTTATGATATGGGTTCATTGTTGTAGATCAAATGGGAAACCCTAGGTGTAGGGTTTAATGTTAATTACTTTAGGTTCTTAAAACGAAAATGGCTAAATTGTAGTTATGGTCATATGACCGAAAATGCCTTCGACCTATTGCCTCTGCCTAGTGGTGTTCCAGTGCCCATGTACTTTTGCGGCGATCCTTGCAAGGTAGCCAAGTCCGATGAAGATGACACATATAGGCAGAGGTATTGGATGTGTTCCAATTTTGCGTTTGAGCCTACACTTCGTCAGCGCCGTATTAACAAGATGGTGAGGAATTGATGTTTGTGTCATATGACATCTTGCATGATTTTTTTTGTTTTGTAACAATTGTATTTTTTGCAGACCCCTCCACCGCTCTGTGATTTTGACCAATGGATCGATATTGAGATCAAGCCTGAAGACAAGGAATGGATGCAGAAACTATTGTGGTGGGAGGCAGAGGACAATGAAATGATGGAGAAGAGACGTGGAGAGGAGGCTGCAAAAAAGGAGCACAAGAAAGAGGAGAAAATGAGGCATGTTGGTGCGTACAGGGAGAAGAAGCTTGAGTGTGCACGCCGAGCGAAAACAGCGATAGAGAAGAATCCCGATACCCTGAGGAATGAAAAGTGGACTCGTTACACTCAGTAATCTTCATTACTTGCTAGTTCTATGGTTCATTCATGAACAATGTTGTCTATTGTTGGACTTTTTCATTGTGTTATCATGTAATGCACTTTAAGTATGGGCATGCTTAGGTTATGTACCGCGTTATTTAGTTTGTTGGCACGTACTTCTAGTATTATTGTGTTGTTTAATGTGTCATAGTATTGGACTTTTCATTATGTAGTTGTTTTTATTATTTGTGGTCATAATATTTAGTTTAATATTGCGGACATAGTGAAATATGATCACGTGCTGTAAACAAAACCTAACGAAGTAGGACATTATATAATTCAACACACAAAACACATAAATGACATATGAGAACATGTACCGAACTAGGGTACAGAGGTCCTGAACTAAACCTAACATGCCTTAGGTAATTGAAGCAAACAACAAGCACGAGAAATGACATATGAGAACATGTACCAAACAAGGGTACATAGTTCCTGAAAGGGACCGTGACGCCTAAGAGGGGGGGTTGAATTAGGCAACTTAAAAGTCTAACTCTTAACTATGATCGCTTTTTCTATCCTTAGCAAAACCTATACAAAAAGATAAACTATCTAAATATGCAACTATGGTTTTGCTAGTGTGTTACTATCTCTACCGCAAAAAGGAGTTATGCAAGCAATATAAATGCGGAAGCTAAAGAGTAAGGTAGAGATATGCAAACTCCCGTCGATGACTCCGGTATTTTTACCGAGGTATCGAGAAGCGCACAAGCTTCCCCTAGTCCTCGTCGGAGCCCCTCGCAAGGAATCCCTCGCAAGGGCCAAGCTTAGGTCGGTCAGTAACTCCGTGGATAGCCCCGGGTCTTCCCCACGCGTAAGTGGGTCTCCGGTGTGCCTTCCAAGCAAGCCTCTCCTGGATCGCTCCCCGCCGTCTTCACTATCAAGCTTCTAACCGAACGCCGCGGGCCTTGTTCCCTTGATTTTACGGTGGCGGCCACACCACAAATACGGTTGGTGTGATCTCGCAAGACTACAAGCCCCTCCGATGTACAACAATGGTGCGGCGTAAGCACCGAGTGATAAGTGTGTAAACCTCACTAAACACTAGGCCTAAACCTAGAGCAAGCGCATAAGCGGTGGTCTAATCAACCTAAGCACTTTGCAAAGCACCTACGCTAATCACCTAATGAATCACTAAGCACTATGCAAGTGGAGATCACTAAAATGGTGCATCAACACCCTTGTTATGTTTCCTCAACTCTCCACTTATCAAATGGCGGTTGGGGAGTCTATTTATAAGCCCCCGAGAGAAAGTAGCCGTTGGGAACGAAAACACTTTTACTACTTGGCCGGGACCTTCTTGTCAAATCCCGACCGGACGTGTCCGGTCGTCCGACCGTTGAGCGCTCACGTTGATCGGACGACCGTCGAAGTCCGGTCATTGTTGATCGGACACGTCCGATCTTGTTGTCGCTGCTCTAGAACCTCTCTAGACTCGATCGGACGCTTCTGAGTTCTGCGTCCGGTCGATATCCATAGCGTTGGTCGATCTTTGAATGTGTTGCCGAAATGATGAACAGTGCCATCATCGCGTTCGGTCACTTCTAGTCCGCAGCGTCCGGTCACTGCTGCTGACGCTGCTATTGCCGAACATCTTGATTGGACGCGTCCGGTCGCTATAAGAACCGAGACCGGTCACCTCTGTGAAGCTTGTTTCTTCGCGATCTTGCGTCCGGCTTGGTTTCTATCTTCGTGCTTGGACTTTGCTTGATATCTTGGGTCTTCTCTTGTGCTTCTAGGGTCTTGCTTATGGTGTTGATCGTGGGATCATCATGTTGCCTTCGTCCAAGTCACGTCTGTCGATGTTTTACCACCGGCAACCCGTCACGGGGTACCCGGGACGGTGATTTGTTCGGAGGGGTATCGGCGTTTGCAGGAACTCGATGGTAAACGTAGGGAGACAATGATTTATACTGGTTCGGCATGCCAGAAAGTCATGGCGCCCTACGTCCGATCCCGGTGTGGATAATATATTGCGCCCTGCGCTCTCTTGTCCTCTTAATCTCTATCAAGATCTAGAGGTTTTTGTTGTGTGTTGTATGGTGTGTTCTTGTGTAAGTGCCGATCTAGGGACCCCTGCCCTCCTTTATATAGTCCAGGAGAGGCGGGAGTCCTAGTCGGTTACAAAGTAGAGATCATAGTAGGATTACATGTAACTAGTTCTAGTAGGATTACATATAGGGAATCCTAGTTGGACTAGGTCTTCTTCTCTCTTCTTCATGGGAAACCCCATGGGTCCCGCATCGACAAGCCCCCGAGCATCTCATGGATGAGCTTCGGAAGCCTTCTTGTTCTTCTTGGCCTTCGTTGAGTTGTTGTAAATCCGTTCCAGGTTCTTCTGAAGTGAAACCTTGAGATGGTCTTCTTTTGGTTGGTTCATCATGACTAATGTGCACTTTTTTTTCTAAAAAGTGCACTTTCGAGGAATGTAGCCCTGAGCCTCTTGCTTGTTGGGACAAGAAGCGGATGGTCCCTTTAGTCTTCTTGGTTGCTCCGAGAAGTTCTTTTTTACGTGGGTGCAATTTTTCAGTAAAAATTGCACTCACCGAGTGTAACCCTCGAGCTTCTTGCTTTTGCTTGCAAAAGTTGGAGAGTCGATTCTTGTCTTCAAAAATTTACGGGGTTATGTATCCCATGAGCCCCGAGCCTTCTCCGAGTACTTTTCTTTAGAATAGAAATCGGATGAAGGGTCTTGATGTATTGTCGTTGTTGTAGTCTTGAGTACTTGTATTCTTGGTCTTTCGTCCTTGAATCCGAGCCCCGGCGTAGTTGAAGCGAATCTGAGAGCCTCCGAGCT